GCTCCACGTCCCGGTGGCAAAGACCCCAATAAAAATGGCCTCGGAGACGCTGCAGGGTTTTTTTCCCGCTGAAGTGCCCCACGCCCGGCTGGCCGTGCACCGCTCGGAGCACCGCCCCGCGGAGCGACCGTGGCACCACCAGCTGCCACCGTACCTCGCCACTGGAGGGTACCCGCCACCCCCGGCGCAGCACCCCGTTCTTTACCTCCAAGGCCTCCCACAGGGTGCAGAGGGCCTTGACAGACTTTGGGTGCGGGGCAAGCTCTTCTCGCGTAGGCCGCACACCTGCTGCCCTCCAGCGGAGCATCGGCCCCACGTCAGGATCAGCTGCCTGACGCTGCGCCAGGTCTGACAGGCCCACCCCCCGTGGCCCCTCCCGGGCCGAGGCCACGGTGCTCGACTCCGCCACGGTGCGGACAGCCTCCTCACGCTGCTCCCACCGGGCGCAGTGGTGGCAGTCCGCGGCCTCGCAGGGGCGCCGCGAGAGAGCGTCAGCATTGAGATGGCGAGACCCCGCACGGTGCACGACAGTGAAGTTGTACTCCTGCAGGATCTCTATCCATCGTGCCATCTACCCCTCCGGCTCCTTAAAGTGGAGCAGCCAGGTGAGGGACGCATGGTCGTTCCTCAGCCTGAACCGGGTCCCGAACAGGTACGGCCTGAAGTGGTGGACCGCCACCATCACCGCCAGCAGCTTGCGACGGGTCACGCAGTAGTTCTGTTCAGCCCTAGTCAAAGCCCGACTATAGTAGGCCACTACGCGCTCCCCATCTGGCCCCTCCTGCGCCAACACCGCACTCACCCCCGAGTTACTCGCGTCGGTATCGAGAACATACGGTAACCGCGGGTCAGGGTAGGCCAGCACGGGGGCCCCCACCAGAGCTTCACGCAACCGGCCGAAGGCCGTCTCACAGTCCAAGTCCCAGTCGAAACGACGGCCCTTGTTGGTGAGGCGGTGCAGCGTTGGCTGGCAAAGTCCCGGACGAACCTCCGGTAGTACGAGGCCAACCCCAGAAAGCTGCGCAGCTCTGCGACGGTGCGGGGAGTCGGCCAGCCCCTCACTGCGGCGACCTTACCTGGGTCCGTAGCCACCCCTCGCGGTCCAACAACATGTCCCAAGAAGGTCACCTCCCACCGCAGGAGCTCGCACTTGCGGGGGTTGAGCCTCAGGCCAGCACGGCGGATGCAGACCAGTACCGCCTGGAGGTTCGTCAAGGCCTGGTCGAAACCCCGGGCATGAACCAGCAGATCGTCCAGATACAGCACACATTGGTTCCGCAGGACCGATGCCAGCACCCTCTCCATCAGCCTCTCGAACGTCGC